GTATTCCTTCAATAAAGATATGGAAATATTAAAGTTTTAGGTTGTTTGTCAAGGACTGCTAAATGTGACTGTGGTGAAGATCAGACCACACCCATTAGGAACTCCAGAAAATCCAAATGTTCACAATTTTTTTCTAACAACTGCATATAGGCAGCACAGTGGCTAAATGGTTAGCACGTCCGCCTGGCAGTACTCGGGTCGTTGGTTCGAATCCCAACCACGGCACCACCTGCCTGGAGTTTGCATGTTCTCCCTGTGCCTGCGTGGGTTTCCTCTGGGTACTCCGGCTTCCTCCCACACTCCAAAGACATGCTGGTAGGTGAATTGGCTCCTGTCTAAATTGGCCCTAGTGTGTGTATGTATGAATGTGAGTTAGGAACCTTAGACTGTACACCCCTTGAGGGTTAGGGACTGATGTGAATGTACAATGTATATGTAAAGTGCTGCATAAATTGAGGGCGCTATATAAGTACCTGTAATAAATAAATAAAATATGGAAAGTGATAGAAAGCAGTCTGCCAAGACACATCCAGTTGTAGATCAGAACAGGAAGCATATTACAGTACGGAAGTACATCTCATCTCTTTCACTTTAAATATAACTCGATATAAAAGCCAATGTTAAAAAAGTCATTCTTCCAGTTTAATACAGCTCAGTACATGTCTAGACTGATGTATTTATCCCTGATGAGATCTGTGAGAGTGAGCCTATTTCCCAGCTGCTGTAGCCTCATACACCCACACACGTTCAATGATGGCTGCAGCCCCTTCCCTTCCACTACCACCTCCTCCAGCTTTCGCTGTCCCCTTCCCTTTGCAGGGGGGGGGGAGGGAAGACGGAACATTTTCCTGGTGGGGGTGGAGAGTCTGGCCTTGTAGTTCTTCTGGCACCCCTCCCTATATCGTTCTGTCCAATCACTGACTAGAATCCTCAGTTTAGGAGGGGGTGATGTGTGTGTGTGAGTGGGGGGGTTCTTGGTGCAGACATTGTGAGATGGCGTCCCATGAGTATATAAAAAGAGGGGGTGTGGGAGCTGATAGCATCTCTATGTAAACAGCCATGTTGGTGATATACTTTAGAAATAAATGTCAGAAAAAGAACCACGACAAGATGAGAACTGGCACCTGCACAGTGTATAAAACAAAGACTGATCTAAAATACTAAGTGTCGGTAATTTAGAAGCCAATTAATCCTTGCATGTAATCACACCTTTTTTTAAGGTTAAAGAGACTTATTTAACACACCTAATGCATTCTGATGATGTACATGATATACGCTGCCTCCTAGTCTGAGTAAATATTTAGCTGGGTATGTAATGACATTTTACTTCAAAAGTTTGTGTCTGGAAAAGAATTAGAACTCCTGTCAGGTTTTTACCTCTCTCTGTTACAGAGATTACACCACAATCAGGCCCCTTTCACACGGGTGTTCTAGCAGACTGACTCTGACCTGTGATTACATCAAAAACAGATCGCAATGTATCCCTATGCGTAGCCAGGTGTGGATGTGCACCTACCTATATCCACCCACATGGGGTCCATTCAGTTTAGTTGGCCCAAACTGAAAAAGTTTGCATCCAGGCTTTGAGGGCACGTTCACACTAGAACAAGATGCAGATAACCCACATTCCCGTACCACGTTCAAATGCACTGCGCTTGAGATCTGCAGCGTGTCAATGCAATGCGAATGAGATCCCAAATGCAAGTGGCAAATACAAAGCCTCTGACTGCACAGGATCGCAGGGCACAAAAATACCGTGCAATTCAGTTGCTCTTCAGATTGTAAAGTACTGCATGCACTACTTGTGCTGCGGTCTGGTGCAATTTCGACCCATTCAAATGAATGGGCTGAAATCACACTGCACCTGGATCACATGTGAATCACACAGGAACACACAGCGCACTCCTGTGCAATTCATGGTATGAACTGGCCCTTACTGACCTGACAAGATGTAGGTGGACATGAGTAGATGCACGTCCACTTACATCCAGCCACCCATGTTACATGAGTAAACTTTTTTCTCCATCACATAATGGAAGAAAATTCAGAATAGGCATGGATGTCACATATGGACATCCATTTCCATTCTGATCTAGCTTAGCAAGGGATCAGTCTAGGATGCCATGCTGGGACGGAATGGAGGGCACCTGAGGGAAAGAGGCCATAAGCTGGCCATAGATGGATCGAAATTTGTCTGGTTCAGCAGAGACCAGCCAAATTGCAATCAATCTATGGCCATTTTCATTCATGATCAAACGACTGACTTCTCATGAACCAGCTTGTTGGAAAATTTTGCTTTGATAAGTGCTGCAGCCAATTGGCTGCAGAACCGATCAGCGTATTCTGATGGCGGGGGAATCCCCACTATCAGAATTCAACGACACAGCAGGATTCCCGCATCCACCTGGGATGTTCGATTCGATGGGGGAATCGGTTCAGTTTCTTCGCTCAGCCCACTGGCTGAATGCAAAAACTGGGCCATGTGTGATGGTCACAGTGATTTTTAACAAACAGGAAGTGAGAGCAAATCTAAAACAACACAGAAAGGAATAAAATTGTTTTTCTAAGTTAAGAACCCCTGCCAACGTTTTGTTGTTTTCTGTTCACAGTTGCTTAGCTTCCATCAATTCCTGTCTAGTAAAGTGGGAAGTAAATGAGCATATCTCTATGGGAGCCCCCAACAACAGTAAAAACCTGACAGGGTGCTAATCCTTCCACACTTTAAATATTCCTCCAAAGACATGCGGCAGCTTGCTTTATTTCCAATTAAACACATATGGACCTAAATTACACTGAACAGAGGATATTTTTTATTTTAGACCTGGTTTATTAAGTGGTCAAAGTATCAACAGAACACTGGCACCTATTTAAAAAATCAGAAGACAAAAACTGAACAAATTTAAAGAGCAATCTGAAGCAGAGAGAAATTGCATAGAGATTTGTTTCCCTCGTGTTACAATGACTGCTTTCCTCTTATTTCTCGTCCTTGTGTCACAAAGACAAAAAGTGAGGGGAAATCTGTCCAATGAAGTGGCAAATAGCAATAAAAACATGCCAGATGTGCTAACACTTCTTCAGCCTTTTCGAAGCTAAAATAATTTGGCTGGGTATGGGTTTAATGAACAATTCCACCCAGGCTGTTACTGTTGTTCAAATTCCAGCGGGAAGATCTCCCACTATGCTTCTAATAGGCCAATCCTCTGGACTGAGCCTTTCATAAATTCCTAAGGAGAGTCCACCAGGAGGGTGCAAAGCACAATATATGGTATTATGAACTATAATGGAGACTTCTTAGGCAAATATAAAAAATTCAAAAACAATAAAAGGTAACACTAAGCTCTGATCACCATGTCACAGCCAAGTCAGAGGTTAAAGTGGTTCTAAATGTTCAAGGTTTTTTTACCTTCATGCATTCTATGCATGAAGCTAAAAAACCTTCTGTGTGTAGCGGCTCCCCCAGCTCCCCCTAATACTAACCTAAGCTCCCTCTCAATCCAGTGATGTGCACTGAAGTCTCGGCTACCCCAGGACTTCCTCTTCTCATTTGCTGAGACAGAAGCAGGAGCCATTGGCTCCCACTGCTGTCAATCACAGCTAGTGAGCCAATGAGAAGAGAGAGGGATGGAGCTGAGCCGCGGCTCTGTGTGTGAATGGATACATGGAGCAATGGGTGCCCCCATAGCAAGCTGCTTGCTGTGGGGGCACCCAATAGGAGGGAGGGGCCAGGAGAGCCTGTGGGGGACCCAATAAGAGGATCCGAGCTGCTCTGTGGAAAACCACTGCAGAGAGCAGGTAAGTATGGACATGTTTGTTATTTTTTCTATAAATAAAATAAGCCTATAGAATCACTTTAAAGTACATTTCTGGACTGGTACCTGTGACAATGGCTGAGTGATCGTGTACCTACTCTCATCCAATTAAGATAGTTCTGTTTTAGCTAGAAATTCCCATGACAGCATCTTTGACTATTTAAAGTCACAGAATGAAAAAACTTTGCTGAGCTTGTGATCATTACACTACCTCAGTGTGAAAGGTAAAAGGTCCCCACAGATTAGAACTTCTTGTGCAACAGGATTATGGTTTCCTATTAATTGCCACAACGAGACATACCAGCTACATAAGGAGCTTGTACAATATGATGAAAAAAAAAATAACAAATACACCATGAAAGCTCGTCTGACCTTAACCTAAAAGGGCTTCTTGGCATAGCTAACTCTCACCCTAAATACAACAGAATGGAAAAATGTACACTGCCTTTTTTCAATTGGTTTCTAGTGGACTGTAAATGTTTGTATAACGCTGGAGAAAAAGTGCACATTTCCAGAGTTAAAAAGTAATCAAAAAGAGGGGGGACGGTCCAACACTCAAATGGGAGCATGACATTATGGTAGCAGCTTGCTTAAAGGTACATTTATGTAAATAAATCTGAGTACTGGTCAGCTACAAATACAGGATCAGGCCTGCTCTTCACTCCCCATGCGCACAGCCTGCCACATTCATGACAAATGATGAACAAACGATCTTGGTAGGGCATGCTTTCTGTTTTTGTGCTAAATCCAATGCCTTTTTCCAGTTGTTTAAAGTATAACTGAAGGCATAAAAGTTTTGGATGGAGTGGAGAGGGATAAGGACCACTCTTCTGGTGTCTGTTTTCCCATTAAGCTGGCCATACACTTATTTTTTTTTTTTTTCCAGCCAATGGACCCCCGAAATACCAAGGAGGTGGATGGAGGAATTCACCCCACCCTCCAAGCCACTGTCAGAATTCACTGATCAGCAGCTGCAGCAACTGTGGTATATCCACTGATCAACGGAAAGTGAAAGGAAATATCCCCAATGGGGCACAGATGGGAAAAGAAACCCTGACAGGAGTTACAGATAATCCATCCTAACTCTATGCAAAATGAAAAGTAATGTTTTCCTTTCAGCTCTCTTTTTTAATCCATGCCAAGACAATTTGCACAAACAGAAAGTATTTATTTTTATGTTTTCTTACTCACCTAGAAAATCCCTTTCCACAGCTTTGGCAAATGTAGGGCTTTCCTACTGAACCGTCATGTGATCGGACATGGTATGACATTCGGTCTTTCCTCTTAAACCTCAGTCCACACACAGGACAAGAATATGGTTTCTCTCCAGAGTGAGATAGCTTGTGCCTATTCAGGTGGTACACATCCCGGAAGATCTTTCCACACAAATCACAAGCCACCTGTTTCCTTGCTCGGTTCCTCTTTCGAGGGGTTGCTTGATCGTCTTGTGATAACCCATTCTCCCCTATTCGAGGTGTTTGAAGGTCAGCGTATCCCAACTGTAGACTTGTGACTCCATGCTGTGCTTCATGCTGGCGGAGTCGCAATGGATCTGTGAAGACTTTATCACAAAGTCCACAAGGAAGTACTGCGCCATCACGTAAGCCACCGACGGCACCAAAAAGGACAGAGTCTAATACACTTGGCTTTCTTGGCCTTCCACGGCCACGTTTGCTTCCAAGTCCTTGCATCCCCATCTGGTACTGCGAAGGCAAAATTTGAGAAGATCCCCCAAGTGCTATAAGAGAAGCCTGACTTGGCACAGCTGGCCCTGGCCGTACAGAGTCCTCCTCCTCGTCCCCTATTGACCCTGCGATACCTGACCCACCCATCACAGAACCATTTGTCATGTCCAATGGAAATCCAAGATCAGAGGCCCCTGATCGAAAAAGCATGAGTTCTGGCCTTGTAGGAGGCACCAAAATTTGTACATTAGATTGCTTGATCACCTCCTGGCATATGTCAATCACTGAGCGCATCAGTAAGAACTTAGCAGCTGTCATTAGCTCTGGGAAACTCTCCAGTCTAATAATGATGCGAGCTGTGTAGGCAAAGTCTAAAATGTCCCCGAAAACCTTGGAACTGATGGTGTGCATCTCAAGCTCGCGTGGAGTTGGACCGTCTGCCTCTCCAAGCACCGACTCAAAATACTGACTGCAGGCAGCCAAAACAGCACGATGGGCTGGAAAGCTGTCCTCGCCAACCCGGAGAACCACATCACAGAAGCGACCTCCACTCTTGCGTTGCTGGTTGAGTTGATTGAGTACATCTGAGCTGTGCTGGCTCACTTGATAGGTGTAGTAAGATGGTCCGCATCCCTCCGCCAAACGCTCCATGCTGATGGGATGATGACTCTGGGGCTTGTAATGCTAGACCTACAGAAGGCAGCAAAAACCAAAATCACATAACAACTTTGCATATAAGCACATATACTGTAAGTGTACCTGGCCATAGACCTGCAGAATTCTGTTCGCACATTCCTAACAATATTCAGAAAAATTGTTAATTAGTGCATTCAATAGTTGCACTATGGTCTTGGCAAATTTTGGTAAGGGTAAGGGTTCTGACCAACCTGTGTTGGTCTCTAAAGTATTGTGGTGGATAGTTTCAGAGAGCGTGTGCAGGTACAGCTGACAGGCATTCGGGAGGTGGTACTGCCGCCTCCAGAATTTTTTTTTTTTTAAGACCCAAGCAGGATTTTTGAATGGAATTATTGCATCACACAACAACAGGCCTAGTGTTTGGGTTGTGGTACAGCCCTATTTTCTTACGTCCGGTTCAGCGGTAGTACTGCCTGTTAAACGCAACAAGGTCATTTTTGCCATGCTATGAAACAAAGCATCATGGCCGCAGCATGTGTGCAACCCCGTCTAGTTACCTCTGCTCAACTACCAATTTTTACACCGCCCCCCCCCCAAAGTTAAACGTAGCACTAGAATTTCGCTAGCTTGAGAAAGATTTTGCATTCTTCTCCTTCGATTTTTCTTGTCCCTCTGGTCAAAAACAATGGCTGACTTGGCCTCAATAACAATTTTTAAATAGACGAGGCATTCCGAAAATGAATATTTTGGGACTAACCCCTACTGTGTATGCTTTTTCAGTGGCCTCTCTATGACCATTGCAATAGCAGGGCTCTGAGGCCTGGGGGTCTGATCTAAATCAGGAGGGTCCCTATTTGTCCAATTGTTGGCTGTCCATATTGTAGTAATTTTAGTGGGGATATGGGGCCTGGGGGAGCACAGAGGGGTCTGGTCTGGACCAGGAGGGTCCCTGTTTGTCCATATTGCAGTCATTTTAGTGGGGCTGTGGAGCCGGGGGGGTCTGCTCTGGACCAGGAGGGTCCCTGTGTCCTGTCAGTGGCTGCCTGCATTGTAGTAATTTTAGTGGGCCTATGGGGCCTGGGGGGGTCTGGTTGAGACCAGGAGGGTTCCTGTTTGTCCTGTTGCTGGCTACCTATATTGCAGTTACTTTAGTGGGGCCATGAGGGGTCCACTTGGGACTAGAAGGGTCCCTGTTTGTCCTGTCCCTGGCTGCCTATATTGTAGTAATGTTAGTGGGGCTATGGGGCCTGGGGGCACAGGGAATGTAGTCTGGACCAGGATGGTTTCTGTTTGTCCTATCACTGACTGCCCATATTGTAATCACTTTAGTGGGGATATGGGACCTGGGGGGGTCTGGTACAGACCAGGAGGGTCCCTGTTTGTCCTGTTGCTGGCTGCCTATATTGCAGTTATATTAGTGGGGCCATGAGGGGTCCACTTAGGACTAGAAGGGTCCCTGTTTGTCCTGTCCAAGGCTGCCTATATTGTAGTAATTTTAGTGGGGCTACGGGGCCTGGGGGCACAGGGGTGTTGGTCTAGACCAGGAGGGTTCGTTTTTCCTGTCACTGACTGCCCATATTATAGTAATTTTAGTGGGGATATGGGGCCTGGGGGGTCTGGTTGGAACCAGGAGGGTCCTTGTTTGTCCTGTCGCTGGCTGCCCATATTGTAGTTACTTTAGTGGGGATATGGGGCCTGGGGGGTCTGGTTGGAACCAGGAGGGTCCCTGTTTATCCTGTCGCTGGCTGCCCATATTGTAGTCACTTTAGTGGGGATATGGGGCCTGGGGGGTCTGGTTGGGACAGTCCCAGGTGGGTCCCTGTTTGTCCTGTCGCTGGCTGCCCATATTGTAGTAATTTTGATGGGCCTATGAGAACTGGGGGGGGTCTGGTTGGGACCAGGAGGGTCCCTGGTTGTCCCGTCTCTGGCTGCCAATATTGTAGTAATTTTGATGGGCCTATGAGAAATGGGGGGGTCTGGTTGGGACCAGGAGGGTCCCTGTTTGTCCTGGCGCCCCACTGTACTGTACTGTGGTAGTTTTACAAAAGGAACCATAGATACATCCTGTATACAGAACAATGAAGGATCTACCTCATGACTTCAAACTTCCCAAACTGCATATGTATAATACCTCGTGCCTTAAGGGTCCATTGTAAATTCTGTCCCCCCCAGCCCCCCCCCCCCCTTTATCAGGAACAATGCGTCAAGTAAGCACCTAAGGCTCTATAGGTATTGAGGTAACCATATACACATTATATATCCCTGACTGAGCGTTTCCCAGGCTCAGAGGAGTTCCATTAGAGTACACTTGACTTGCAGTGAGGTTCCGGTGACCCCACACAGAAGACAAGTGCTAATGTGTGTGCTGAGGAATGAATGTGAGGGAAGAGTTATAGGGGAGGGGAGCCCAGAGGATGATGGGAGGGTCCAGTGCGGCCGCAGCATAAAAGGCCGACAGCACTGCTGGATGGGGGAATAACAAGGGGGATCCCTACTGCACATTAGGGGTTCGGGGTGATGTCACCTGGGTGCGCGTACCCGCCTGGCTCCTCCCCTCCGCCTCTCGCGGGTGCGCGCTCTTCCGGAGCCCCGGTGGTGCGGGCTGTCGGTGTCGTGTCCGTCCTCTGCTCAGCCTCTCCGCCCCCCCCGAAAATGAAACCCCCCCCACCGGACTCCGGGACCCCCCCACTCCAGAATGTGGGGCAGCTCTGACCGGATCCTCCGCAGCCTCTTTGTGTCTGATGCCCCCCCCGGGCTGAGAATCTGTGTCCGCCCCCCGGTCCCCCCTCCCTGTGAGCACTCCCCCCGCCTGTAAGCAGACTGGGAGACCCCGCACATGCCGACCCCCCCTCCATACACTCTACCCCTCCCGGAATAATATGCATACACAGTGTGGTCACAGGCTGATCAACTACAATGTTCCGTCATATATACTCCCCCCCCCCCCCATATTTCCTGTCCCCCCCCCCCCCCCCCGTGTACTGTGTACAGTGCCGTATACCAGGAGACAGCCCAAATATCACTGAAAGTGCAACATCAGGGGCCATCTCTGCTCACATCCGGGGAAGGGGGGGGTCATATGTGTGCAGCACACCCCAACACAGGGACAGGGCACACTATACACAGGAAGGGGGCACACTATGCACAGGGAGGGGGCACACTATACACAGGGAAGGGGCACACTATGCACAGGGAGGGGGGGCACACTATACACAGGGACGGTGCACACTATACACAGGGAGGGGGCACACTATACACAGGGACCGGCACACTATACACAGGGACCGGACACACTATACACAGGGAGGGGGCACACTATACACAGGGACGGGCACACTATACACAGGGAGGGGGCACACTATACACAGGGACGGGACACACTATACACAGGGAGGGGGCACACTATACACAGGGACGGGGCACACTATACACAGGGAGGGGGCACACTATACACAGGGACGGGGCACACTATACACAGGGAGGGGGCACACTATACACAGGGAGGGGGCACACTATACACAGGGACGTGGCACACTATACACGGACGGGGCACACTATACACAGGGACGGGGCACACTATACACAGGGAGGGGGCACACTATATATACAGGGATATGGCACATTATATACAGGGTCAGGATACGCTATATACAGGGATAAGGCACACTATATACAGGGAAAGGGTACAATCTATATGTTCCTTGGAATGTGTAACCATGTTATTCCATCCATAATCCCCATGAAGAAAAAAATATACCCAGGTTAAATATGTTCAGTGCTAGGTGTAAACATGATCTGCCACCCATAACCCCCATGTACAAAATTGTTTATATGCATATTATCAGAAATAGGTGAAATATGTTCCTTATTAAGTGTACACATGACATTCCACCCATAATCCCGTGCAGAAAAATAACTATTCTTATGAGAAACAGGTCAAATGTGTTCCTAGGCATGTTTAACCATAATATTCTACCCATAATCCCCACGTAGAAAAAAAACTATAGCCATATTCTTATCGGAACCAGGTTAACTACGTTACGTAGAATGTGTAATGATGATATCCCCTCATAATCCCTTTGGGGAAAAATAACTATTCTTATATTCTTATCAGAAACCGGTCAACTATTCTTGGCATGTGTATCCACAATAATCCACCTATAATCCCCATGTAGAAAAAATAGCTATTCTCATATTCCAATCAGAAAAAGGTCACATGTGTTCCTAGGCATGTTTAACTACCATATTCCACCCATAATCCTGATGTAGAAAAATAACTATTCTTATCAGAAACCAGTCAAATATGGTCCTTGACATGTGTATCCACAATAATCCACCCATAATCCCCATGCAGAAAAATAACCATTCTCATATTCTTATCAGAAAGGGGTCAAATGTGTTTCTAGGCATGTTTAACCAAGATTTCCACCCATAATCCCCATATAGAAAAATAACTGTATCCATAGTTTTAGGAGAACGAATGTTTTATGTCAAACATGGTCCTTGGCATGTCTATCTGCAATAATCCACCCATAATCCCCATGTTGAAAAATAGCTACTCTCATATTCTTATCAGAAACAAGTCAAATGTGTTCCTAGGCATGTTTACCTTGATACTCAACCCATAATCTCCATGTAAAAAAAATAACTATACCCATAATCATTTTAGAAATAGGTCAAATATTGTCCTTGGCATGTGTATCCACAATAATATACCCATAATCCCCATAATGTAGATAAATAATTATTGTCATATTTTAACCAGAAAGGGGTCAAATGTGTTCCTAGGCATGTTAAAAAAATCAATATTCCACCTGTAATCCCATGTAGAAAAATATCTATTCTCATATTCTTATCAGAAACAAGTCATATGTGTTCCTAGGCATGTTTAACCATGTTATTCCACCCATATTGCCCATTTAGAAAAATAACTATTCCTATAATTATTTCAGAAATAGGTAAAATATAGTCCTTGGCATGTGTGTGCACAATCATCTACCCATATTCCCCATGTAGAAAAATAACTGTACTCATGCTTATCAGAAACAAGTCAACTGTCTTCCTAGGCATGTTTAACCATGATATTCCACCCTTAATCCCCATGTAAAAAAAAAAACTATACCCATAATCATTTCAGAAACAGGTTAAATATTTTCCTTGGCATGTGTGTCCACAATAATCCCCATGTAGAAAAATAGCTATTCTCATATTCTTATCAGAAAGGGGTCAAATGTGATCCTAGGCATGTTTTGCCATGATATTTCACCCATAATCCCCATGTAGAAAAATAAGTATTCTCATATTCTGATCAGAAACAAGTCAAATGTGTTCCTAGGCGTGTTTAAATATGATACTCCACCCATTGTCCCCAGGTATAAAAATAACTATACCCATAATCATTTCAGAAATAGGTCAAATATGGTCCTTAGCATGTGTGTCCACAACAACATACCCATAATCCCCATGTAGATAAATAAGTATTCTAATATTCTTATCAGAAACAAGTCAAATGTGTTCTTAGGCATGTTTATACATGTAATCCCCATGTAGAAAAATAACTATACCCATAATCTTTTTAGAAATTGGTCAAATATGGTCTTTGGAATGTGTATCCACAATAATCCACCCATAATACCCATGTGGAAAAATTATTATTCTCATATTCTTATCAGAAACAAGTCAAGTGTGGTCCTTGGCATGTCTAACCACAATAATCCACCCATAATCCTTATGTAGAAAAATAAGTATTCTCATATTCTAATTGGAAACAAGTCAAGTGTGTTCCTAGGCATGTTTCACCATTACATTCCTTCCATAATCCCCATGCAGAAAAATAACTATACCCATAATCTTTTCAGAAATAGATCAAATATGATTCTTGGCATGGGTATCCACAAAAATGCTCCCATAATCCACATGTAGAAAAATAGTTATATGCATTTGCTAATCCCCATATTTAAAATTAATTTTACCCATATTTGTATCTAAAAAGGTGAAATGTATTTTGTATAGGATGTGTAATCATTATATCCAATCCATAATCCCCAAGCAGATCAATAATAACCGCATTGTTATGAGAAATGCATTAATTTTTTCCTTGGCATTTGTAATTTTGAATCTTAATTTTTTAACCGCCTTCCACCTGCCATATAGTGTAATGACGGGCGCAAGGCGGTTCTCTCGTTCTGGGAGGACGTCATATGACGTCGTCCCATTCTAATCGTGCATGCACGGCTCTGGGAGTGCGCAGCGCGGCGATCGGTGGTGCGCTGTGTCCCTCGGACACAGCGGATCACCGATCAACGGAAAGAGCTGAAGATGTCGGCTCGGTTATGTGATCAGCTGTGTCCAATCACAGCTGATCACATGTAAACATCGAAATGCCGGTTATCAGCATTTCTCTCCTCATGAGCTGTCACGCTGACAGCTCGAGAGGAGAGCCGGTAATCGGCATCCCTCAGAGGGGACATGTACACTGATCATCAGGGCACTGATGATCAGTGTAGCCCCAGCAGTGCCACTTGTCAGTGTCCATCAGTGCCAGCTGTCAGTGCTCATCAATGCCACCTGCCAGTGCCCATCAGTGCCACATCAATGCCACATTTCAGTGCCTACCAGTACACAACAATGCCACATATCAGTGCCCATCTGAGCTGCCTTTCAGTGTCACCCATCAGTGCCACCTATCAATGCCAGTCAGTGCCACCTATCTGTGCCCGTCAGTGCTGCCTATCAGTGCTGCCTATCAGTGTCGCCTAACAGTGCCAGTCAATGCCACCTAACAGTGCCAGTCAGTGCCACCTATCAGTGCCACCTCTCGGTGCCACCTTTCAGTCCCATATATGAGTTCTGCCTTTCAGTGCCCATCAGTGATGTCTGTCAATGGCCATCAGTGCCACCTACCAGTGCCTCCTCATAAGTGCCACCTATCAGTGTCCATCAGTGCAGCCTATCAGTGCCCATCACTGCAGCCTCATTATCGCACATCATTGAAGGAGAAAAATCACTTATTTATAAAATTTTATAACAAAAACTAAGAAAAAATTTTTTTTTTTTCAAAATTTTCAGTGGTTTTTGGTCTGTTTAAGAAAGAATAAAAAAAACCCAGAGGTGATTAAATACCACCAAAATAAAGCTCTGTCTGTCACAAAAAAAAATGATAATAATGTCATATGGGTACAGTGTTGCATGACCGCGCGCAATTGTCATTCAAAGTGTGACAGGGCTGAAAGGTGGAAATTGGCCTGGGCAGGAAGGGGGTATAAGTGCCCTGTAGGTTAGTGGTTACACATAATTTTCCAGGTTCCTAATAAAACAGTCCAAAATGTAGTGCTTTGCACATATATGTATGAAATCAGTAAATCTATTCCTATTAATATATTGAGTAATGTTTCCATTATTTCTGTATAATTTACTATGATTCCTTTTTCCAGCTACACATATACCAGTAAGTGAAGAGTTAAACATTAGCCACTACTACTTGCAACATAGCACTGCAGAAAAGAAAAACATATTTTGAGTAACAACAAAATCATTACCATATACTGTATGTGTGTAAAAATATACTGACACCTAATGAGAGTGCTGAGCATTGCAGCCAATAATCCAATCATCCCATCATCCCAATACGCAGTGTAGTACATCCCTAATTCCAACCTTTAGGGACGGTTCACACTACATGCGTTTCAGTTGCTTTTTTTCTGCATCCAAAATGCACAGAAAGTAGGTTATATGGTTGTCAATGTTATAGTTCACATCAGTGCTTGCAGTTCCAGTGCGTTCCAGTTGCAGGAAAAAAAGTAGGACATGCTGCATTTTTTCTGCACAGAACTGTACTGGAACGTGGGAAAAACGCACTGGAACGTACATGTCCCTATTTAAATTGAAGAAAAAGAGAGGGGGGAAATGGACTGGAATGCATAAAAAACCCACCGGAACGGACCAAAAATGCACCGGGATGCACATGTCCCTGTTTAAATTGAAGAAAAAGAGAGGGGAAAAATTAATTGGAATGTGTCAAAAATACACTGAAATGCATCACAAACACATCAAAAATGTGCATGCAAAAATGCATCTGGACTGCGTTTCTATAATGTGAACCGGCCCTAAGGGCTAGTTCACACCAGATGCAGTTCAGTGCATTTTTTTTCTGCAACAAAAATACATGCACAGTGTTTTCCATGTATTCCAATGGCCCTGGTTCACACCAGTGCGGTCAGTTCCAATCAGTTTCCGGTGCAGAAAATAAAAGTCGAACAAGCTGCATTTTTTCTGCACAGAACTGTACTGGAACACACTATAGAACCGTTGTCCAGATGGGTTCCACATACGTTTTTGCATGCATGTTTTTGATGCATTTTTGGTGCGTTCCAGTCAGGGGCGGACTGACAACTCATGGGACCCCCCGGGCAATAGGGGATCATGGGGCTCCCGTGTCCTTGCCCAAACTCAAAAAAGTCTATGAAAAAGGTACCAGGGGCATCTCATGGGGCCCCCTACTGACCCCGGACCCTAGGGCACTGTCCGAGTTTCCAAATGGTCAGTCCGCCCCAGTTCCAGTGCATTTTTATGCATTCCAGTACAGTTCTGTGCAGAAAAAATGCAGCACGTTCTACTTTTTTTTTTCTACAACCGGAATGCACTGGAAATGCTGGCACTGATGTGAACCATGACACTGACAACCATATAACCTACTTTCTGTGCGTTTTGGAAGCAGAAAAAAAACAACTGAGACGCATGTAGTGTGAAGTGGCCCTAAGGCTGGTTCATACCAGATGCAGTTCAGTACGTTTTTTTTTTTTTCTGCATCAAAAATGCATGCACAGTGTTTTCCATGTATTTCAATGGCCCTAGTTCACACCAGTGCAGTCAGTTCCAGTCAGTTTCCAGTGCAGAAAATAAAAGTAGAACAAGCTGCATTTTTTCTGCACAGAACTGTACTGGAACATAGCAAACTGCATCGGAACTGCGCGTGGTGTGAACTGTAAGCAAAAACGTATCTGGAATGCATTTTTGTAGTGTGAACTGGCCCTAAGGGCTAGTTCACACCAGATGCAGTCCAGTGCATTTATTTTCTGCATCAAAAATGCATGTACAGTGTTTTCCATGTATTCCAATGGCCCTGGTTCACACTAGTGCAGGCAGTTCCAGTCAGTTTCTGTTGAAGAAAAAAAAGTAGAACAGGCTGCATTTTTCCTGCACAGAGCTGTACTGGAATGCATCAAAATGCCCCAAAGGAACGCAAATATCCATATTTAACTTGGAAAAAATAAACCAGAACCAAACTGCACCGGAACGTGTCAAAAACTTGCATGCAGAAATGCATCCGGAACGCATCTGGACTGCGTTTCTATGGTGTGAACCGGCCCTTATAGGCCTGGTTCACACCAGATGCAGTCCAGTGCATTTTTTTTTTTCTGCTTAAAAAATGCACGCACAGTGTTTTCCATGTATTCTAATGGCCCTAGTTCACACCAGTGCAGTCAGTCTCCAGTGCAGAAAAAAAAGTAGAACATGCTGCATTTTTCTGCACAGAGCTGCAATGGAACATCAAAGCTGCATCGGAACTGCGTGTGGTGTGAACTGTAAGCAGAAACGTATCCGGAGTATGTTTTTTTTGGTGTGAACTGGTCCTAGTCTGTTGGATTATGTCTCTAATAGGGGCGGACTAACCATTTGGAAACTCAGGCACTGCCCAAGGGCCCGGGGTCAGTAGGGGGCCCCATGAGATGCCCCTGGTACCTTTTTCATAGGCTTTTTTGAGTTTGGGCAAGGACACAGGGGCCCCATGATCCCCTATTGCCCAGGGGCCCCATGAGTTGTCAGTCCGCACCTGGTCTCTACTAACTTTGCACAAATTTTTTTGCTTTGCTGAAATATTGCGTTCGATCAATATCTCACGACCTACAAACTCTGCAACGCCTGTAATTTTATTCCCTGGATCCTCCCCCCCAACACCCCCCCCCCCCCGCCCCCTTTCAGAAAACAATTATTTAGGGAATCCTAGGTCATTTTCTTAGTAAACAAAGACAGAATTAAAAAAAAAGGCAAAGCTGAGCACCGGACAGGAAGGGGTTAACAAGATTGCAATTTCAGTTTGCAGATTCCCAACTGCCGCTTTCCCTCTGCTGTTTAGCTCCCCCCCCCCCAGCGATGACATCACAGCCCAGGCAGAGGTTTTGAATCCAGTGCAGGAGCTTGTCAGTTGTGTGTCAGAGCAGGGAGAGTATTCCGTTGGCATTTTTTTCTTTGGTAATTTGCCCACCCAGCCACCATGAGGGGCGGCTACCAGAGTCTCAGTGAGTATGTGTACAATTGTTGGAGGGCGTTCTGCTCCCACATCAACCCCTGCGCTCTGTTCTGTGCTTGCTTCCGCATATGTACCAAGTGCTGTGACTGGGAGCACTGCCCAGATTGGTGCCTCAGAGGCGCTGACCTGAAGGACCCCACCAGTGTCACGGTATTCGACTACTTCTACTATGACCCAACCAATGGGAAAGGCCGGCTGAAGGAGAGGACCCAGGTGGCTGAGTTCAAACGCAGCGTGGTGGCGTTCCTGGTGGGCCTGGCGCTCATCTGCCTCCTCAGCTACCTGGTCATCTTCTACAGGAGCTACAACATCTACTTCTGCATCATCTCCATCGTCTCCATGGGCTTCTTCCTCTGCATCGGTATGGCCTTCTCTGTCCGGATCCGGGTCACCGTCTTCTTGATGATACCCCATCTCTTTTCTGGTGCGTTCTTCTCAGCTTTAATAGGTTTGGGTTTTCGGTGCGTTTTTGAGGCATTTTTTTTAAATTTTATTCATTCCAGGTACTTATATAGCATTGTCCAATTTATGCAGCACTTTACATATATATTGTACATTCACATCAGTCCCTAACCCTCAAGGGGTGTACAATCTAAGGTCCCTAACTCACATTCATACATACACATACTAGGGACAATTTAGAGAGAAGCCAATTAACCTACCAGCATGTCTTTGGAATGTGGCAGGAAACCGGAGTACCCGGAGGAAACCCACGCAGGCACAGGGAGAACATGCAAACTCCAGGCAGGTGGTGCTGTGGTTGGGATATGAACCAACGACCCGAGTACTGCCAGGCGGAAGTGCTAACCATTTAGCCGCTGTGCAGCCCATTTTGACACGTATAATAATCACGGTGGCGTGACGTCACTGCGTATGGCTCCTCCTTGACGCGTTTTGTGCTAAGCACGTATTCATAAGGGGTGTGCTCGTACGCAATGTAAAACAAGCAGTCCATTCATAGCAGACGCGGCATGTGCGCACATCGTGTCCGCCATTTTGTCGAAGTCTGAGATGTCTGCACAAATCCTTAGTTGCTATAAATATATTTACTGCTATGGGTCATGGGTATTTACAACACAATCAGGTATAATCATTATTTAAAAACATTATGCAAAAATAAAAAAAATTATATAAAGAATATATATACTGTAAAGCCAAAAAGGGCTGAAATGTGAAAACATCAATAATAAAATAATCCAATACGTAAAATGTCATCAGATAAAAACCACAATAAAGACATTCTTGAAAATATCTTAAAATATAAAATACCCACAATAAGCACAGAAGGTCTTAAATAGAATAGGATAGCCCGAATAATATAGAATAGAATGGCATAAAATGCATGAAATGCATAAAAATAACTCAAAAAAGATAAAAAGTTTGTAATGATGAATATGTATATAAAAAATGATGAAAAGTGTATGAAATAGAAATACAACAAATGAGTAATAAGCGCAGATGAATGTGCTAAAATAAACATGAATATACGAATATGCTTAAAAATGCATATACACGGCCTAAAAATGGAGATATATAGAAGGCTAAAAAGAAGTAAAACCTGAAGCAGACTAGGACTCAACTATTGTCAATAAAGCAATTCAAATCCATATCAATGTTAAGTCCTTTCGGATAAGAAGTACCCATCTCAAATATCCACTTCGATTCAAGTTGGGAAACAGCTCTTTTCTTGTTAGTCCCCCTCCAGTGCATTTTAATAATATCAATTCCACAAAAGTTAGGGAGGAAGGGTCTCTATTATGGCATATCCTATAATGTTTGGAGAGCGAGTGATCTTTAAAGCCTATTTTTACATTGTATACATGCTCCCTCAACCTATCTCTTAACCTCCTCGTGGTACGTCCAACGTACTGTTTCCCGCATGGGCACCCTAATAAACGACAAATCGACTATTGCAGGAGATAAAATTGTCGATATTATACTTCCTGCCTGTAGATGAAGATGTAAACTAATTCATTCTTTTTTTTTTTCGCTGGTTATTGCACAGGCATATAACACACTTGTTACATGGAAAGAACCCCGTCAATTTCAGAGAAAAACGTAATGTTAGAAGGCGGATTAAAAAACATTGGGTGCTATCCCTATTTCTCAATGCATAGTCCTCCCAAATGTAATTTCTGGTTTATCAGGCAAGATCTTAGCTAAAACCGGGTCACCTTTCAAGATTTCCCAATCTTTATTAAAGATCCTGGAAATTGTCTTGTGCTGGACCGAAAAGGTGGTAATGAATGGACATACTTTAGGTTGCCTGTCTTTCACTTCATTACTCAGCATGTCATCTCTATTGCTATTAGCCACAGCTTCAAGCACCGGATTAAGTTCCAACTTGTCATAACCTTTTTATAAAAACCTTTTTTTTGAGTATAGAGGCTTTAGTGTAATAGGTGTCAAGAATAGTACAATTTCTCCTCACCCTAAGGAACTGACCCTTGGGAATGTTGACTAACCATACTGGGTGGTGGCAACTATCTGTAGGAATATAACTATTTTGCTATGTAATCTTGAAATATGATTCAGTGACAATCTTACCCCTTTATTTAGTAGGGTTAAATCAAGAAAATTGATTTCATAAGGACTGTATATTCGAAGGTTAATTTGATATTCAAATTATTGTTGTTTAGGGTGCAGAAAAAGTTTAAAAGTGTTCATCTTTATTCCATAATAAAAAGATATCATCTATGTAGC